GAACCGTGCAGTGGGGGGGTTTGGTACACCTGACAGAATCACAGCTGCTCTCTTCTCACACAACCTGCTGTTCCTCTCCAAAATAGTAATTTTATTGTCTACAAATGAAGGTAAATGTTTATGTTTAACAACCCATTAAAATACACCAAAATGCAGGAAATGGCATCTCTGTTATTAAAAATTTTCTCTGAGAGGACCCACAGACACCCCTCCCCCCCCCACCCCACACACACACACACACACACACCAGCCTGCCTGCTACTCCGGCATCAATCAGTTTACAAATTAAGCCCTGAATACCGGGATCTCATTTTAACGTCACATCCGAACATGAAGCAGAGAAAGGAGTCTTCCCTGCTTTCCCTTACGTCCATGAGAGCACCATTAGTCGGATCCATGACGCGACCTGTCAGTCAATCAAGTAGGCATGTCAGCAAATGACCAATCCGAAGCTAAATGCTCCTTACCTGCAGAGAACTGGAACATACCACCTTACTGAAAGCAGGTTCATAGTCCTGATATTGATAATAACCTGATGCTGATGTTCTAACAGATTACATAGTTTCTCTCACTGAGCGCCGTTTTCCAACGGAAGCAAAAACGAAAGTCATGACATAATGACGTCACGTACATGCATCCCAGAAGCATCACACAAAAACACAACAGTAGGTGGCAGTACTGAACACGTTTTGTGTAACAGCGTCAGTAACAGTAAAGTTTAACAAACATTCTCCATTTTACCACAGTTAAAATGCGGTAAACCTTGCTTTATCGTGTCAGAGTTCAGATACTATTACAACTCATTTAGTTTCAGATTGGTCATTTGCTGACACGCCTACTGGATTGATTGACAGGTCGCGTATCGTGGATCCAACTCAGGGAAAATTTTTTTTACGACAGCTGTAAAAAAAGTCTCGTACAACTTTATTCTCGTAATATTAAGACTTTATTCGACTTTATTCTTGTAATACTACGACTTTATTCTCGTAATTTTATGGCTTTTATTTATTTTTTCTTAGCATGGCAATGTAATTTTTTTTTAGCGTGGCCCTAAAGCTCCGTCGCTCCGTCGTATTAAACAGAGCGAAGGAGACAACGGGTGGGGAAAATAAAAGAACGGGGAGGGAGGGGCTGTTCCCCCTTCCTTCCTCCCTCCTGCTCATATGAGCAGTGCTGCGGAGAAATCACGTCAAATTTATTTAGAAAGTACATTTAAAAGCAGCAGTTGTTAAGAAAAGTGTTTACCAATAAAAATCAATGTTACTAATGTAAAGAATATTTACCACATTCTTTTCACTGTTCTGTTCAGCGATTATACTTAGATAGTTATAGTGTTCATTTTGAAAGTATAATGGTTGTAACCCTGAGTCAAACAGCGAAGCTTCATGATGATCTTGTAGTCTGAACTGTGTTGAAAACAACCTATATCAGTCTTATATTTCATAGGTGCAGTTTAGCCAGGTGCATTTTAAAGACTAAGAATTACAGTACTTAGTGCCTTTAAACTAAATTATCCAAAATTAAAGAAAATAGCACTTCTTACAAGCAAATATTGCTTTTAATTAAGAAGTATTTCCTTAGAATGAGTGTTATGCCCCATTCATTAGTCTGATTTTAAAACTTTTTATGCTTCATTTAGAAAATGTGACAAAACAATGAGAATTATGCACTCTTGAACAAGCTAATTTTAAGATTTTTTTTGCTTATTTTTAGGATGTTAAACCTTAATATAAGTGTTATGTCCCCTTGATTAAGCGGTTTTTAAGTTGTTTTTATGCATCTCTTGAGAAAATGTGACTTATAACAAGGAAATGATGTGACCTGATGTGTAGAAAATGTTTACCCAAATTGAGAATTATGCATTCCTGAACAAGTTGATTTCAAGAATTATTTGCTTACTTTAAGATTTTAAACCTCAATTTAAGTTTTCACGTAAACACGAAAAGCTTACTACAGGGCAAATTTCCTTAAAACTGAATTGTTTCTTTCTTGATGTAGAGGACATTTTTCTGGATGAATATTATTAATACATTATTAAGCTCTTAACCAAATTACTTGCGGTAAGAGCAAAATTGTGAAGCACAAAGTGGGGCAAAATCCTCAGTAATAAAAGTAAATGTGAACAGAGGCCTTCCTCTAGTCTTTGTGACTTTTATTGTTGCATTTGTAGTAAGTAGAAAACATGGTCAACAGTGTGTGAGTGTTGCTTTAATCTAATATTTAAAAGGTGTGTAGAGTTTAAACAGTTTTTATCATGTGGCAAGGAAAAAGATGCAACTCATTAGTGAAAGAAAAACATGGATGGATGCATGTATGGATGGATGGATGGACGCATGGGCGGATGAAGGGATGCATGGATGGATGCATGTATGGATGGATGGATGGACACATGGGTGGATGGAGGGATGCACACATGGAACCATTATATTTTCTCATAAATTGATCCAATATGTAATCTGAGTTATATTTTAGGTCTAAATTTCAAGATGATACACATTATGTTACAGAAGCTAAAGATGCTAACGTGAGTTCAGACGTGAAACATTGTCATTGTGTTTTTGTTATATATTTTCAGCCAGACAGGCCTGGTCATCTCACTACATGACATTTACCATATACAGCAACAATAAATTATTTTGCAGGTGGAGCCGTGTGCTGTAGATCTTTAGTTTTTAAAACAGAGTTTGAATAAGTGCGTCAAACATTCTAAGAAAGGAGATCTTATTATGATGTTGTGGATCTTCTTGCGAACAGCCTCGTTGGTTAATTGTCTCTACTGTGGTCAGGTGTCATGACTTCTGTCTTTAGGCCTGCTGGAAACAAGTGACATGGACCTCACCCAAGTCCATCATTGGGTTTGTAAATTAAAATCAAGATGGGAACGTTCTTCAGCTATTTCTATTATTCACAAACAACACCTGAAGAAGAATTAGCTCTATGATATAATATATGATGATAATATAATAATATATTAGTTTGAATAATATAAGTTTGAAAACAGTGCCTTCCACTTTGCCTCATGCAGTTTGTTTTGTTTCCATTCCTGAGATTAAAAATCTTGTCAACTTCACATCTGGAAGTTTTATTAACCAACACCCACCATAAAGCCCCACCTCACCAGCACAGCACTGGAACAATCAACACATTTAAGAAGCAGAGTAGCTGGAAATTACATTAACACAGAGTTTATGAACAGAAGGAGCAAAAAGGTGGCTTGTTCTAGACTCCGACTTTCTGTTGCTTCTACAAATGCTTGGCATTAAATGAGCTTCCTAATGAAGCCCTGAGGAAAACAAGCTGAAACACTTGATCCAGGAAAGAAAACATGCTCCATTCTTTTATTCAGGACTTGCTGCTGCAGCATTATGAGGACTCTCAAGTATTAACATTTGATGAATCGCCATAAGGAATTTAGAAGTCTGACCTAAGGCGAATAATCATTAAAATCAGCTTAAAAACAAGAAGCTCTTCAGGAGGGAATCTCACTTCACTTCATTGTTATTAACTAATTACCGTACCTTCCGGTCTACAAGCCGCTACTTTTTTCACAGGCTTTGAATCCAGCGGCTTATACAATGCTGCAGCTAATTTATGGATTAAAAAAAATCTTTACTTTTTTTTGACGAACTAACGAGCTTCCTGCCGCAAAAAGCATTAAGCTTTGTCATGCCCAGGCGCTCACGTAGCTGCCCAATATCCCTCACACAGAGTGAACCCCACACGTCTTCATGACAACTACCTATCTCAACTCATAGCCTAAATTTAAAAACTATTTTTAAAGATTCACAGATGTGCATATGCACAAAATGTATTTATTAAATGAATCAAACTTAAAAAGCAAATCTGTGAATTAGTGATTGTCTTTTTTTTAAGTCCAAGTTATCAGAGAAAATGACTTGTTCTGAGTCAAAACTAATCAATCAGCCTGTTTGAACAAAAAGAAAAAGACAAGCACCATTGTTTCAAACTCCTAAATCATTTACTTATCTATAACAAGTTATTTTATCTTGAAAAAAAGAGACATGTCCTCTCTTGGTTTCTTCATTAGTCAAACAAAATATTTGAACTGCATTAATATTAAATATATTAATATTAAAATGCAGATTTGGTGATAAAAAGCTGTGAAATCTTTTTATCTTTTTAACTGTTGCTGCTGTTGCTGCTGATACACTGGAATTTCCCATCCGTGGGACAATAAAGGCTGTTTCTATTCTATTCGATTCTAAAAAGACCAACCAATAGACTTACAATTTGTATCGCTGTTATAAAAAGTAGACTCACTCTGTTAAGGAGGCACACTGGTCAACTGACTAGTAACTGCAGTGAAGGTATCTCAGCACTAATGCATTATGGGTAATGCCACTACTTGACTTGATCACAGACTCAAACATGGAGCAGGTGGGGAAGTACTGGTCAGTGTGGGATGACGGAGACAAATTGCTGGAAGCTGTCAGCACTGTAGAGACCCTGCTGATTGCTTAGCAACCATAACATGTGTTGAAAACAACAGCAGTGCACACACACGCACGCACACACACACACAACATATTTATGTCTCAAACTTACGACAACAGCCCAAACAGAAACATATAAATCTAATACCAGAGAAATAGTTCAGGATCCATCTGAGGTTCCTGTGATTTATCTGACATGATGTGTGTTTCTGTGTATTCACACACACGTCTGTTGTGTACCATTGTGTGTTTGTATCAGTTGTGTACCATTGTGTGTTTGTATCAGTTGTGTACCATCGTGTGTTTGTATCAGATGTGTACCATCGTGTGTTTATATCAGTTGTGTACCATTGTGTGTTTGTATCAGTTGTGTACCATCATGTGTTTGTATCAGTTGTGT